AATTGTCTAGAACGAAGTCATGCATGCAAGCCTTAACAAAGGCCAGAATCATCAAAATCCAACACTTATCTTCCTTCCCACATACAACTTCATCACAAAAGCAACTGTTCGACACCCCAAACCCATTCCAACTGAAGGAACTTGGCCAGCTGGTAGTTGTTTGAAAATATTAGCCAATCTCACATCCACGATACACTATTTACCTAGGTTGTTTGAGATGCAAGATTAAAATGCAAATGAACCACCAAAGAGTATTCCCGTCAAATTATCGCTCAAACCTTAAGGCAAACATTCCACTAACAAAAAGCTAAATAAATCATTTTACAGAATTGAACCTGTCAATGAAGTCGCAACTTCAGGTCTATCTTCCATCCTGACAGGTTCCTTTTCATCTTTATCTTCCTCCTCTTCATCATAATCTTCGTCATCAAAGAGTGAAGCTGATGGCCGCAATTCAGAAAGAGAAACTTCAGCAGCCAAGTATTCCTTCCTTGGCAATAAGTATTCCTCCTCACCAGCATCTTGAATTTCTGGTCCGTCATAATCCTCATCGATATCTTCATAATCCACCGCATCTTCAGCCTTGTCATTATAATCTACCAGCAGCAACCCAGATTGATAAATATCAGAAATTTGATGAAAGAAACCAAAACTTCTAGGGACATGCCCACACACGATTCAATACATACTTCATACAGAAGTAAACAAGCATCAGTGTCTACAAAAGATTCTTTTGATTATGGTATAGGAATGTCAAGCTCCTTATCACTTAAGTGGTTTTACACATTACACTCATCAGCTGCTATCTCAAGTACAAATAACGGTGTCAGTGAAACTGTTATATAATTATAGCTCTGTAATTCATGCATCTCAATAAATATAAGATAAAGCACAAGACAAACAGTTGAGAGAGAATAGCTGAAGGACCATGGATAAATAGAGGAAAACAAAACCACATAACATATAGTTTTTCATGAGAAACAGTATTACCTGCCGCATCAGTAGATGTTTTTGAGGATTTCAGTGACAACTGAAATTTGAAACATGTGATTAGCCCTACAAAGCTTAGAATGTATCCAAGAAATCACTCAAATGCTAAAACAATCCCTACATTTATTCCTGTCAATGAGGGACCCAATTGGTCCGCAAGTGCATCAAGGTGCTCCTTTGCATCCTGAAGATTATAAAAACACAGTATTAGAGTTGCTAAACTGCAGACCTGCTATTATTCTATTCTTATACTAAATGACAGGCAGAGTTCAGTGAAAAGAATGAAGAACTTAAATCCCTGAAACTACCTATACAAAAAATAACTTACTGATATATGTAAAAGGACAGGCCATTATGTTTCTCAAAGTACATTACTTTTCTGCCAACACTGGTGGCTTTAACTCTCTGCCAGCAAACTCAAACTAAAATGTGTAAACATGTTCGGACATTTAAAATAAAATGCTAAAGAGAAAGCATGAATCTTGAATGCAATTCTCAACTCGTCCTTCATAGACCTCACATCTAACACTTACATATCCCATTAACGCATTGCTGTTAAATCAATTCAGATGTAGACCATCCCTTTAAAAATGTTAAAGGTAGAAAACATCCTTGCCATTGTTCTAAATTCTAACTGTTCAAAAGCAGAAACAATAGGTTACCTCGTCAAGGTAATCAACATCCAGATCCCCAGAGTTGTCAACATTCCCAAAGAGAAAGCCCAAAAACCGATTAGCTCCACCACCCTCCTCATACTCTTCCTCATTATCTGCCACGGCAGTCACAGAGCCAGTAAGATTTAGAATCAAATTATATCTTCAAACAATGAACAAAATATCCACTAAATACTTCAATCACTATAACAGAAAATTCTCAAATCATGGATCTTCCATGCCATGCAACAACAACCATGCATCAACCATTCTTATGAGGAACCAAGCAAAGCGCCATAAAGAAACAACATGATGCATTGATTTCCCAAGTGAGCCAAACATAAACCAATTTTTAACCTACAATACAAGGCCCCTAGACTCCCCTGTTACCAAACTAATCTTCAGCTTCCACCACAATCTAGCTAGGTAAGTTACCGTAAAAGGGTTCCAAATAACTGGAAACATTTGCTGGTTATTCAATAGTTTCTGCAGCACTCTAAGCAAGGATATCAATAATTGGAATAGAGTTCAGCCTACAATGCAGCAACCCTCCCCTCCATTCTAAGGTCAGTTCCAAGCAAACTTCGGCAGACCAAAAAAAAATGCTGCAAGAGAATAGCAATTACTCCAACAACTTGCTTCCCGATTGCAGTTTCCATTCCATAAACGGAAAGCTACCAGAATAACCATCTCCAAGAAACACAAATAAAGCAAACGTACACCCAGAACATAGAAATTTTCGACGACTTAATTCTCTTCTCGTTCCAAGAAACAACAAACAAGCTCACCTTCGTCCCTCCCGTCCGCGGAATCATACCCGTCCATGCCCGTGCCAACGAGTCAACAATGATTCCGACGGCGAACACCAGCCAACGCCAGTGGTGGAGAAAGGGGGGAAGAGTCTGCTCGGCAATTCGCGTCGTCGACAATTTCCCCGATAAGATTCCCCTAGCCCTAGAGAGAGAATTGACGACCGAAGAAGAACCGGTGGAGGGCTCGTTTCTACAGTGGCGAGCTATGCCTCCCAACGATCAGTTGCTTGCCCCCAGTTCAGGCGATTCTCGATGGGTCGGGTTCCCCCGGATCCAATGGGGCTTTCTTCTTCCTCTCTGGAAAAAAAAAATATTGTTTTACGTTCATTTTTCCCTCGCCTTCTCCTTGCTTTTATAGGCCCTTCTTGTTGTGAGAATCAAAGTGCAGGTTTGGCCTCTTGGGCAAGACTAAACGACGGCGTTGAGAAGACGTTAAATTTGAACCTTTGACCCGGGTCCTAACTCCTAACCTAGGAACCCAATTCGTGGGTTTAACCGTTTAAACCATCTTCGAGGGAACTCTCATTTTCCCCGGTTATGTTTTGTTTGGTTAATTACAATTTATGCTTTCAGGGAAGATAATTAAATTTTCATTCACACAAAAACTTGTTTAAATCACACTTTGATTTTCTTGTCTTCTTACTATTTTTGAAAAGATTTACATTGAAATTTTTTAATCTTTTATAAATAATGACAAACTATGAAAATATTAAATTTAAAGACGTAAATTAGCATACACATAAGTAAGTTCACGCCTAAAGAGGAGCATTAGTTATTTCAAATATGTGAGTCGTTAGCAAATTTTCATCTCTCCCATAAATTAACTTTTAGGTAGGGTTACTCGACTTGCTCATTCACATGATAATCGTAGTGGTTACTAATTTTTCAACCTCCTCAAAATGTCATATCCCTTCCACCAAGACCATCGTACTCGAGCTTTTGCCACGTGCAATGTGAATTTGACTAGCTAATGTGTGTTTTTGCTTCATGTCATTGCCTACTCAATGAAAAACAAGGAAGTTAAAGATATCACATGATTAAGTGTGGGTCTCTTGAGCCATAATTGATGGTCCATAGATTCGGTGATCTAAAAACCAAGCATTGATGCTACACAATGCATGGATGAGTAACTACTCTCATACAAGTGCAGATCAATGGGATATCACAAGAGGGTAGTTTCTTAACAATCTATATTATATTAAAAACGATGATATAATGGCATACAACATGAATCATACACATAGACTTTTTAAAACATTAGATAATATAGAGCATCGATGATATAAGCAATGGATGAATAAAGCATCGCGAATACAAAAAAAAACATGTAGAAGCGTAAATATCGTAAGCTTTAAAGTGAGTTTTTAACTACATTAGTTATAAAAACTAAGATTTTGCGTAAAGCGTTTTGGTAACCTAGATAGAAGCGTAAAAACGTAAGTTTTAAAGTGCTATTTTGACTATATTGGGGTCTCTGTTTCACTGCTATATATGCTTGTTTTGGCCATCAAGTGAGCATATGATGTCCAAATTCATCTTCGTTTGAGCCCACGATCTTATATTCTCGTCCTTTATATGATCAATTGGGTCCCTTGGTGACCCATCCTTGTCTTGAGTGCATTATATCCTTAAAAAGTACAAAACAACACTAAAAGGCATAAAGTAGTACAAAAACACGCTCAATATCTAGCGCAGGCTCACGAATCAAATAGTTACAATATAGTAAAATCTACTAAAAATGCATTGATAGAAGTGAGAAATGTAATAGAGGTGGCAATTGGATCGGATTCGTAGATTCGTGGATTGGATTGGTGGATCCATGGATCAAATGGATTGGATCCAATGGATTGGTGGATTGATCCATGAATCCAAATGACATCAAAGACTTGGACAAAAATGTAAAATTTGAAAAGTTTTGGTACTAAAATGTCATAATGAAAATTTTAGGTATCAAAATGTAATTTTCCAATGATATTTTTCGTATAAAAATATAAATTTTAAGTACCAAAATGTAAAATATAAAAAATATAGGTACCAAATCGTAATTTGCCATTTTGATCCATGGATTGATACACGAATCCACCAATCCAATTCGATTTGGATCAAATGGATTGGATTTAAATGGATTGGATTAGGTGGATAATTTGATAAATGGATTGAATTGGATTCATGGATTTTGATCCTAATTGGCCGTGCATATATGGTTTTGCTAAATACAACAAATAACTAGTACATCATCACATCATCTGTTAGGATAGATAAATTAGGTGGTGAATCTAACCACATGAGACCAGAGTTATTCCAACCGGTTTGTGTCCTCTACTAGCCGAACCCGGTTGTACCCGCGAATGTACCACCCGTCAACCATGGATAAAAGTAAAACAAATCGGACCGGGTCGGGAGCCGGGCTCGCTGAAATCCGAATCCAATTTCAACTCATTGGGCACAGCGGGACTCGTTTATTGCGCAACCATTCCCTTTTCCTTCAACTTCTCACACAGGCGGAGTGCGGGACGAACTGCGATTGTGATTCCGACGCCGGCAAATGATGATGCGGAAGTCTTTGACCGCCGAAGAGTCTCAATTTCTTCTCACTTTGCTCCGATCCGACCAACGACCGTTGGATGAGATCGTCGCCGAATTCTCCGCCAAGTTCCCTCGGCACCGACTTTTCACTCTCTCAGCTTCTCTATTACTCCTCCTGGAGGTAAGCAAGTCGTTTCCTGCTCTCAAGTCTCAACTCACTGATTACACTCGACGGACCTCCAAGAATGTCCGTGTGGGGTTTTAGGGTTTCTTTAGATGCCTGTTTTTCCCTGTGTTGTGGTATGTGTATCTGTCGCTTTCAACTTAGGTTTATTGGATGAGCTTTTGGCCCTTTAAAGAATTTTTCACTCAGTAAGAATCAAAATTAAGGCCACTTTTCAATTTGCCATTCTTCGATTGCTTTCCCAACTCTCTTTTTAGTTACTAGTTTGTCATGGCACTAAGCCATATTGCGCAACAATGGGCAAGCTCGTCAGTTGAAACTTTTCTGTAGGTTTTCCTTTCTGCAAGCTCAAGAATCTTGCTAGTTTGGACCCTCTTTAGATAGGCTATATTTATTTATTTTTTGGCGGAATTGGGCTCTGGATGCATTTGAATGTTATTGGCAGGACTAATTGTCCTTGGATGCTTCAGCTGGGAAACTTGTCATTTGTCTTCCATGAAGAAATTAAACTAATTTGGTTGCGTGCTATTACTATGGACGTGTAATGTTTGAAAATTTGGTGAATTGCTATTGTTTGAAGTGATAAAGGTGCCAATTTGAGCATATGCAGCTATATCAAAGAGCAAATGAGAGAATTGCCTCCATATTCTTTTGAGTTTTAAGTGCGCATCTTATATTTGTCTGATGTATTTTTCTGTGATGTCTCTATTCAAGTTTCTGTTTATGTAAATTGTTTACCTTGTTATTGCATGTCCCTGATGATTTACCTGTGTACGTTGGCAGGATAAGAAGATGTTGCATTCTACTGAACGTTTGATTGCATTCACAATTCTTCACCAAGGATATTCCTTCCAACAGTCCTCCATACATCCATTCATTTCTTCCTTGATAACTGTAAGTATCTATTACGAGCTGTTGTGGAACCGTATGATGTTGTTGTTGTTGTTTATCACAAGGTATATCTTGTGCAGATTTCGTTATTTGTGTATCCCTGTGTGTTTGTCGTTTGCATTTGGTTATCTTTATTGCCGTCCTTTATAGCTTCAAATGTCGGAGGGGTATACATGTACTGCACGAGTTCATTTTGAAATATGGCAATGTATGATCGAATTCAAGAACAGAAATTTAATTAGTGGATGCCTTTTCCCAGATTGATCATTTGGTAATCCATTTGATTTTCTTTTTTAAGATGTCATTTTTAAAACGTAATGATGTCCGTGGTTGGATCGGTTTGCATTGGCTCTCAATCTGATTTTCCCATTTGTTAATCTACTCATTCATTTGTACCATTCTAACCGGACGACCTCTTGTGTTGTGGTCATGAATATGCTGCACACTCAATTTTAGTTGCTTCTTCATTCTATTGGGCTGATTATTATTTGTATTTGATCTTATAGGCTGCATGCGATGAAGGAGCTGAAAATGTTGAGAGGGGATTGATTTTCCAGTTGTTAAGCTCTGGGAGCTCTGGTGGCAGCAAAGAGGTTAGCGTCCTTCTACATCCACTTGATACCAAATGATATAAGTAACTAGTTTTCTGTGTTTAATTGCTTTGCGAAGCATGTCCCAAATAACCAGCATGTTCTCTTAGCCGAATGCCTTTTACTTTGTTGTTTGCTGATTTACTCGTCACCTAGGATTTTAACTAGTGAGTCCAAACTAGCAGCTTGACATGTCCTCTCTTTAATGGTCTGCATGAAAGTAGTAGTCTTTTGCTATGACGAGCTAGTGATGTATGTATCTATACGTTTTTTTCAAAATTCTGTATTTGGTTCTGTTTTAGAGTTATCCTTTTGCGATGTCTCTGAAATAAGTTTACTGGAAAGAGGTGTGTGATTTCTGGCCTAATCTCTTTTGTCGAGTTTGCAGTTTCTGAGACATTCTGCAGCAAGTTACATCAAAGCTTTTGATCCTTCAGCGCATGTAAGTTGCATATACAGTTAACCTGTGCAGTGTTTTCTGTTAATGTATGTTTGGTGCAGACTGCAAGTTATATCTTGCATGTTACTGTCAGTCAGATTAATAATCTTGATACTTATTTTCATATTTTGATTGTATATATTTGCTTGGCTTCAGGTTTTACCCCAACGGGAACAGTTGGAGCATCAATATGGTGATAAAGTCCATCCACAATCAAATAGTAACTTGATTAGAGGCACTTCGGTGAAGAATATAGTTGCTGATCCTGATGTACCCAATGGCTGTGAAGCAGATTTACAAGAGTAGGTTACTTGCAAAGCAGTAATGGTGCTTCAAATTGTGTGTTGTTTAATGTGGTATTGCTCATTGTTTACCTTTTTCTGTGGTTAGTTTTTGGGCAGCATTCTTGGCATCTGCCCTGGCTACATTTCGTCTGTTTGTGGCTTTCTATTCAGGTTTCTTTGTTATAGGACAATCACTTTTTTTCTTCCAGGCTTGATCTGCAACCTAGAGCCAAGCCAAAAGTTGGATCTGGAGATCGGGTTGAAACTATAGCTGGATTACTGGTGAACTTGTCACCGGAGGGTTTAACTCCTCAATGGATTAGGCCTTGCCCACCCTTGATGCCGGTGCATGACAGTGAGGTAATTGCCAGCTAATGGTTGAGTTGAAAATTTGTTTTTGGTCAATCTGATCATATAAGATTCTTCCAGCTAGTATGGCTCAATGCTGACAACAACCATGAGCTTGTATGGGACCATGGGATGTGTGCTGATACCAGCAGAGGAGCTGCTGTAAGGGACCTGATTGCAAAAGCCTTAAAGGGACCTCTCGCTCCGTCGCAACAGGAGGTATACTAGAGGAATGTTTGTTCGTTAAATGATCCTGTTCCCATGCATTTTCCATCCTTATTTATGTGGTTTTATCCATTAAACTTCCGGCAGCAAGTCCTTGTGGAATTGACAAACGACCCAAAGCTCGTGTATCACTGTGGGCTCACACCACGCAAGCTCCCTGTATGTTGTCTAGTTGTTCAAATTAACTTCAATCTCCAAATAGGTCTTTAGATGCCTGAACTAAAAGATCCATCTTGTCTTCTTGCTCAGGAGTTGGTGGAGAACAATCCTCTCATTGCAGTCGAAGTTTTGACAAAGTTGATAAATTCACCTGAAATTTCAGAGTATGTTGTCAATTTCATTTTTGCATATTTTATGTTTGGCACCGAGGATAAATCGCTAAAATATCTGCTTTGGCCTTGGCTTTGGCTTGTGCTTCCAGCTATTTTACAGTGCTTGTGAACATGGACATGAGTCTTCACTCAATGGAGGTGGTCAACAGGCTTACAACACAAGTTGAACTTCCAAAGGAATTTGTGCGCATGTACATAACCAACTGCATATCATCCTGTCAAAACATAAAGGTGCTTTGCTTCCATTTCTGACATTAGAGATTTTCCTGTGCGTTTATGATGTCAGAGTGTATCTGAATAAACCTACCCTGGTTGTGTTGGAACGACTTTGGAAGTCTGGTATTAAACTAATAAACAATGCTTTGGCGATTTTCCTCCTTGTTGCAGGACAAGTATATGCAGAACAGACTAGTGAGGCTGGTTTGTGTCTTCCTTCAGAGTCTGATCCGAAACAGAATCATTGATGGTTAGTGATTTTGATTTGTATCGCTGCGGTGGTTTTGTATATTAAGTATTTGGTTGCAGACATCTAATTACCTACACGGTCTTCTTCTGCAGTGAAGGACCTGTTCATTGAAGTGCAGGCGTTTTGCATAGATTTTTCGCGGATTCGGGAAGCAGCTGGGTTATTCAGGCTTCTTAAGACCTTGGAATGAACAAATGAACGAATGAATGACGCCTTCCAACCCAGCCCACCACCCTGCCGCCTTCTGCAGTTTTAGATTAGGCGAATTGTAGTGAGCAGTAGTAGTCTCTGACTTGATCCTCTGCCATCATGTAATTTGGTATTCCCTCTCCTTACTTTTGCAGCCTTATCAAGTTACCATAACCAGCAGATAATACATGAGTAATATCTACCCTGTTGAGAACCACCTGACTGTCAAACAGCAACCGATGTAAACTCTCCGTTGAACATTGTGGGGGACGGGGCATAGCTTCGTTGTAGAGAATGGATTTTAGTGTGATAACATACCCTAATTAGCAACTTCCACGAACATGGACCTATCTAGTGGCGATCGGTGCATCGTGCTCGACTCAACTGACCTTGAGGCCAACTGTTTTGCTGCCATGGTCTGTGGCGTTTGCTTCTAATAGAGATCCTGTTTCGTCGATCCCTGGACAATGGTGAAGCTTTGATGCTCTATTACTGTTCATCCTTTGCGACCGTGTGGTCTGCTTATCGAAAGGATCATAAAATCCCATCGTGAAACAACGGGAGTTTTCTTATCGAAGCATGCTAGTTGTCTGCCGTCGATCATACGTTTGATGAAGGGTTCCGATAACAAATTTGTCCTGCAATGTTTGGATGCACAGGATGCTGGTTCTTTGCTTCACAGTGACTATGCCGACAGTAATGTTATGGCAGACTTACGAGGGGACGAAAACGTGATTCGGAATTTTTGGTGGGCCTGGGCTTCGTAGTACCTTTCACACTTTCAACTGTAGGGGGCCTGGGCCCATTAGCCCACAGCCACTTACCGTTTGCCAAACGGTGATTTCCCATCCATCCGAAAAGTATCTCCAGCGGGAAAAGGCTAATCCGGCGATGACTGGTAATAGTTCGTCGCTGGAGAACCAGCCATGCTACTCTCCTTCCCATTTCCATCTCCAGGTAAAACCAAATTTCTCCGCTCCTTGCTTCCTCAAGGCTCAAACCCAGTTCAGAACCCTAAATTCCCGAAGCTTTAATCCTTCAAGCCAGTTTAATTTGTGCCAGTTCTCCGTTCGTTATTGCATCTCCTTCACGCTGTCGATTTTAATTTCGTCCCCAACCTTCTTTGACTTCTCTCTGCGGAATTTTATCGAACGGTTTGCGGGCGGCAGTAGCAACAATCAATCTGCAGAAAACAGGGACGTGGAGAAGGAATCAGCGGGAATTTCCCGCGAAGACGAATCGAGCTCTGTTTCTCCAGCACCACCACTCTGGCCAATCGACAGTGAAGATCCAGGTTTGAAATCCGCAATTTTGGCCAGTGATTAACGCCATGTGTATACAACTTGATCCGTTTTCTTTCAATCTGATTGCATCTGTACTGGTCTTAGTTTGTTTGCCAAATCTGCAGGAAATCGCTCCCCACTGTGTAAACCCGAATCGTGAAGCTTGCAGGGCTGCTCCTCAAGGAAATGGTAATCAAATTACAGAGATTTCAGATCTTCGATTTTTTTGTTTTTGTTTTGTAGCTTCCTGCATGGAAGACTATAGGTTCCTTTTTTATTCGGTTGGATCAGAAAAAAGGGATTCGCAAGCTAGCTAGAAAATATCTAATTAGGTTGCTTAGTTACTCACTGGTTGATTATTCGACCCGTACGAACGAATGCATGGACCATCACGTTCCAACGAAGAAAATATTTTACACGGCAGAAAATAAATGTGCCGAAAACGACTCCTTTTTTTAGTTTTTACTCCTTTTTTGAGGTCAGAGGACACGTACTCACATCACCAATAATATCTCAATCTTGTCCCAAAAAAATAAAATATTTATAATTTATTGTAAGAAAATAATAATAATCCAGCCAAAAAACAAAAAAAGGGAAGAACAGAGCCAATAGAGCGATGCCACCTAGCTAGGAGTTAGGTTGGATAAAATAAAATAAAAGAAGGAAAAAAAAGGACAAGAAAATAATTACAAGGGAGGTGGAAAGCGCGCAATAGAAAAACATGGCAAAAAACCAGACCCCGTTGTTGTTATATAAATGATCAGCAATTCAGCAGTTACCTCCTTCGTTCATTCATTTTCCTCTCTCCCTTTTCCGGCTCTTCTTCTTCTTCTTCTCCATCTCCGAATTGGAAGAAGAAGAGAAACAAAAACAAATAAAAAAACTATTTATATAGGAAGAGCAGCTTTGCGTTGTTGTTAATTATTTTGGGGTTTATATGATCCTGTTCATCCAGCAAACCGAAACAACGTTGGAGAAGAAGACGGCGACGGCGACGGCGAAGATCAGCACCACCGCGACGCCGGCCACGGGGACTGTATTACAGCTACGAACAACAACGAGCCCCGCCAACCACCACCGCCACCAACAATTCCCCCGGTTTTCGAGGTACCCAATTGTTCGTTTTTTCGGTTCCTTAAAAGAAAAGAGTTCAAATGGACTTTTCTTCCATTTAGTTTTTATTATTTTTTTTACTTTTATTTTGCTTCTCCCTCTTTCTCTCTGTGTTGGGAGTCTTCATTGTCAAACAAAGGGGCGATTAAGAAAGAGGACCCAGCCGTGTCTGTAGATCTAGCCGCACTCCAATTTTACTGGGAATCCTGCAGAATTAAAAAATTGAACGAAAAGGCTGTGGCTTTTGATCTCGGAGGGGGGGTTTTGTTCGCTTGTTTGTTGGTTGGTTTATGTGGGGGGAATTGGTGGTGTGGCAGCGATGGAAGTGGAGCTCCCTTCGCGGGGGAAATCTACTGACGGAGATCTTTTATTGAATGCCTCCTTACAGATGGAGAACGAAGGGCAATCGTACACGCTAGATGAAGGTCTGGCGTCGGTTGGGTTCGGGAAATTCCAAATCCTGGTGCTTTTCTATGCTGGGTTTGGTTGGTTTGCCGAGGCAATGGAGATCATGATCTTGTCCTTCGTTGGTCCTGCGGTGAAGTTGGAGTGGGGACTCTCTGCTAACCAGGAGAGCCTGCTGACTACTGTTGTGTTTGCTGGTATGCTGATTGGAGCTTACACATGGGGGATTATCTCAGATAAATGTGGTAGAAGGTAAGCCTAATGCTCCCCCAACTTTGTGGCATCTCTTGTGCGTTATTGCTACTGCATTCCCCCCCTTCCATTTCATCATATATTAGTTGGGGGCATATTGTTTGTAATTGCTACCCATTCCAAGGAGGCCTTTTGGTCGAGGGAATTGTATATTCCTGATGTTGAAAGCATCTCTGTTCTTATTGAATGGGGATTAAGGTGAGAAATGATTATCTGTTTTAGTGTTTGTTCATATTTGACATTTTTGGGTTTGATTTTTAACATAGGCTGTGTATGCGCGCTTTGGTTTGAGGTATGCCAGGTTTGGTGCTCAGCAATTCTGTCAAGAGCCAGTGTGTTTGCTATTGCTTCCTTGTATATGTATGTTTAATGAGATATTTGTTTTGTTAACTGCTAACAACACCAAGCTTTAGCTTCCCTTGTGTATGATCTCTAACCTCATGATTCTGATTATTATTTTATCCACATTGCTTTTTTGCTGTTGTGGAATTTCGAATGTGCCCTCCAGGAAAGGATTTTTTAGCATAACAATGATAACTAGTGGAGCTGGGTTGATAAGTTCTTTCTCTCCAAACTATCTATCATTGGTGATTCTTCGTGGTTTGGTCGGTTTTGGCCTTGGAGGTGGACATGTGTTCTTGTCCTGGTTTCTTGAGTTTGTTCCTGCTTCACATAGAGGCATGTGGATGGTTGTCTTCACGACATTCTGGACCGTTGGAACTGTGTTTGAAGCTTTGCTTGCTTGGGTTCGTCTTTTTATTTCCCAACTTCATTTCTTATTAAATCTACTTCCTCACTCGTCTTCCCTATCTGTTTAGAGATACTATCTCCATTCTCAAAACTTTGTTCTTATGATACGCTATACTACTTCATTACCACTCTTGTCTGTGATCTTTTGACAGTGAGCTATACTATTTTCATCTTTATCCCTGGAATATTATATGTATTGGTGTAACATTAACTAGACGTCAAATCATAAAGAATTCTCTTGTATTACACTTAGTTTGGTGCTATTGCTAGTACTGAGACGATCAGCTATCATTTCTCACATCCAAACACGAGTTATGTGAATAAAGTGGTATCCTTAGAATTCAATAATTTTTGTAACGTCCTAAACACAAAAAATCAAGCATACAAGTGACTAGGTTTTGCTGTCGCAATGTATTTTCGGTTAAGTTTCAAATTCAGACGTGTCCTTTTGAAAAGTAAGATAGAAGCTGTGGCTCCTCTATTGGTTAGTCTGGATAAGTAAGCTAAATGTCACTTCATTTATTGGTATTTTGGTCTCAAAAGGGTCTTGCTAACTCGGTATGCTTTATTGTTTTGTGGCACCTGTTGCAGGCCGTGCTTCCAAACCTAGACTGGAGGTGGCTGCTTGGATTTTCTGTGATACCATCTTTCTGTCTACTGCTCCTCTATGGGATTGCACCAGAATCTCCTCGGTTTCTATGCCTAAAGGGAAGAACAATAGAGGCACGCCACATTCTTGAAAAGATGTCTTTGCTAAACCGCACAAAACTGCCACCTGGCACGCTTGTCACCAATGGTCGGATTGAAGTGGATGAAGAATCCGCTCCTTCAGAGCACCAACCACTGCTCTCTGCTGCTAAGAAACAGATGAAGGAATTCAAGTCGAGCTTCTCATCATTCTTCATGCTTTTCTCTCCAAAGCTGTTCAGGACAACAATACTCCTTTGGATAATTTTCTTTGGAAACACATTTGCCTATTATGGGATCATATTGCTGACTTCTGAGCTAAGTCATGGAGAAGGCAAGTGCGGGATGAGTCTCTTGCACTCAGAAGGACAGATCGATGATGGTAACAGCCTGTACATAGATGTTCTCATCACTAGCTTTGCTGGTAATTGCTCTCTTTTCCTCTTGTTATTCCATCTCAGGACCCTTTTCCTGAGTCCTGTGAGCCAATCGTTAAGGGTGTGTTTGTTTTAGCAGCAAAAACCATTATGCATTATAACTACAAGAATGGTTAAATTTTTCAAAAAGGTCAAAGTTGGAATCAAAATTTTGTTTGTGAGGTGGCTTATTTATCTACTTTAGGTTAACAAGTGGTTTCTTTTATCTTTCAAGTCTCTTTAAAGTCGCTGTTTTCATTTTTCTTCATGCAGAACTTCCAGGGCTTCTTTTGTCCGCACTCATTGTTGATCGATTTGGCCGCAAGATTTCCATGGCGGTCATGTTCTTCATGGCGTGGCTGTTCCTGATACCATTGGTAAGCCAGCAAGCTCCTTTGGTCACAACAGGGTTGTTGTTTGGAGCTCGAATGTGTGCACTTGGATCCTTCACTGTTGCTTGTGTCTATGCACCAGAGGTAATTAGTTTAATAAAGCACCCAAACTTGAAATCTCAGCAACAGCAGACCTCTGGCTAATCCTTTTGTTTTGTTTTCAGTTGTATCCAACATCTGTAAGGGCAACTGGAGCGGGAGCGTCGAATGCAGTGGGAAGAATAGGAGGGATGTTGTGCCCACTTGTGGCAGTTGCACTGGTCACAAGTTGTCATCTAAAGGAAGCCATTATTCTGTTTGAGATAGTAATTGCAATATCAGTGGGTTGCATTATCTTCTTCCCATTTGACACAACTGGGAAGGAACTTAGTGACAATGTTGTAGCAGTAGGGTCAGATCCTAAAAAGGATATTCAAGATGAAACTTAGTTCACTTCCCCCCCTGTCTTCCCACCACTTTATTCCTTTCATATTCCTGTCTCTGTGTCTAGCTTCGTCTTTGTATATTAGAACACATAATACACAAGAAGAGAAAAGGAAAGGAAAGACAATATAGGCAGGTTGAAAAAAATGAGCTACTTATTCTGCTGCCCAGCAGTAAAATGGTGCACATTGTATCAAAATTTGCAGAACCCAGGTACTTGTTTTTTGGGTTTGCAGTATAATGTTCAATGTATAGTGTGTATGAGTTGGTATTTATGTGAACTTATATGCACATTGCATTCATCAAATGTTACCTTAGAGTTTACCTTGTGGTCTAGATGTAATTAGATTGATCAAGAGTGTTGCAGGTCTACACCTTTAATTCTGCATTTGATCCTTATTCCATGATAATTGCCTAGTTAACCCATCAAAGGTTTTACTTCTCTACAAAAGTAAATATGCATATAGCAAAATAAGGATCACCATTTAAACACGTCAATTGTGGTTTAAGTTCCATGGAGATCCCGCAGCAGTTATGACTTTATTATTATTTTTTTTTTTTTGGGGTAGAAATGAGTGTATGCAACATTATAATGCCAATCTCATAATTGAGATAAAGAAGAATTGAGAAGTTGGCACAAGAAATAATGAAGTGAGAAGAGAGAGCTACTTGATAGAAATTTGTAATTAATATGTATTTGTAACTTTTTTAATTTTAATTTAGTAAAAAGTTAATTAATAAATACTATTTTTTTCATACCCAATTTTAATATCATATCCGCTTCCGAATCACTACCTCTTCAAATCAGGGAGCGATTCCGATGCATAAATTATGGGAGCGTAACCACTCATAACTCATATACTTAAAATTAGACTGATATCATCCATGACTATAAAAAGTTAATTACTAAATACTAATTTTTCATACCCGATTGGTCATCTATACTTACCATTTAACTTATAGTGATGTTAAATTATGCTAATTTTCCTCTCAATAACTTTTAAAGGACTATATCTCTTTCGTTTTAAGTCGTAATTAAGAAAAAGTTGCACAGAAAAATAAGATGAATCGTGCTCGACATTTGCTTTGATATATTTTGTAACAAAAAGAAAAAACTGAGACTTTTATCACCAGTTCCGTCCATACTATGTCGTACAGTTTGGTATGTACATAAGATTACACTACGTGGTATGAACACAATATAATATAGAATTGTTGCACTCATGATAATAGAAATATATTAACCGTCACATACCACATTTCATCAACGTATACCACTCGTTACCACCCTCTACCATGACAATACTTTTCGTTGAACCAAGTGGTGCAACAAGCTGGTGCTGCTGATGAAAATCAAGATGTTCTACTTCTACCCATCCATCTTCATTCTTCCATGATAGAGTTGGCACAACTTGATATAATTTAAACAATTACCAGTCGGCGAACGTGACCGGAGAATGAGAGGTTTCGTTCAAGAAGACGGAGGCGGAGGGGCACTTCCTCCGAACTCCGAAGGTTCTGGAACCAAGACTGCCGTCAGTGTTCTTTTATTTATTTTTCCGTTTTCCTATTTATTCCAAAATACTTAATTTTTTGTGGTTCGCCTCTAATAAATTGGAAAAGAAAACCGGTCAATGGTCGGAGTAAGAGGCAGGGTAGGGATGCGACCAAATTAAGCCAACAACGCCGCCGCCGCCGAGTCTCCGCTTTCCCTTCGTTTCTCAACCAACCTGCAGATTGAAATTCCTGCCTTCGAGGAATCCCGATTCTTTCCCTCTGTCTCCTTTCTGGGTTCCGATCTAGCCATTGAGATCGTCATTGGGTTGTCGCTCCTGCCTGCGATAAAGGGAAGGAAGTAAGAGAAGATGGAGAATGGAGATGAGACGAGGAAGGAGGAGACGCAGCAAGGATCTTCCTATAGGTATTGGGTAAGGGAAGCCACGGCGGATGCCACTCCCGTCCCTGTTCCTAAGAAGCTCTCTGCTCAAGACGTCGTCTCTTCTCAACCCAAGTCTACCGCCCTCGGCTCTGTCTGGAATCGGGTAAACCTTTTTTCTTTTTTATCACCCTGATCTATTACTTCGAATTTGAGGTTGGAATGGTTGAGGGGATCTGCATTTGGATTGTGAATTTGTGATAGGGATATGCGAATCAGTGGATTTCAATTTGACTGAAATTGCTCTGCTTTAGTTATTCCCTTTATGGGCAGATTCCCATTTAGCCTGAACATTTAGAAACTTCTGTAAGAACATCCAATGAATGGTTTTGGGTAGACTTTGAGTCTTGAGGATACGACATTAACAGTAAAGGCAAGTGCTTTGGTGGTTTCCATCATGATTTCTCTGCTGCTACTAACAGTTTGGGTTTAAGCTTGATGCAGGCAGGAACCTGGGAGGAGAAGAACCTTAATAAATGGTCGAGTGACAGGATAAAGGTCTGTGCTTTACACAGGGGCATGTTGGTTTCTGGTCCTGTATCTCTCAATTGAATCCTCAATAGCTGTTTCTCATAGAATACTTCATGAGAAGTATATGTAATTTCTTACTCATAAGTTTTTTTTTTTCTGCAGGAGCTACTTACATCAGTGGGAACCTTGGACTTCACTGGTGGCAAAGCAGAAATAAAAGCAGTTTCCAAATGTTCAGGCGATGTAAGTTGCTCTATCTATTAGTTTGCAGATGAAGCAACGTACCCTTGTGTTTAGCGTGCTATTAAGCTGGTTGGTATTGATTCAATATAGGTTTTAGTTTATTATTTGCCACTCAGCTGCTTCTGCAAAGATTCAGCTCATTGCTCTCTGCACTTTTCTACCCCATTTCCTTAGACGTTGTTATTAGCAACTGGTTACGTCCAGTGGCTGTTTAGCTTTCAGCTGTCTTTTGAAATCTGGTCTAATCGAATGAAAGGTGCTCATTTTTACTGTCGATCTCTCTTTGTGAACAGGCTTTCTTGGTTACTGTGAGGAACAAGAAGCGTGTAGGCTATACTTATGAATTAACTTTAGACATTAAAGGTAAGTGAAGGCTCTCTTAGATTGTATCCTTCCATTTTATTCCGTTTGATTAATTCTGTAGCCTAACTGGATGACATCCAATCAGGAGAATGGACTATCGAAGAGGAAACAAAGACAATAAGAGGATCCGTTGATATCCCAGAATTCTCCTATGGTGAGCTGGATGATTTGCAGGTGAGCAATATTTTTTCTATTAGTTCTTAAGCGATTCACTGGTCCAATGCTATCATATTGTGTAGTAATCTTCTATCAACGTGATTACCGCTAAGGTAGCTGCAAAATGCCTTGTTTTCTAGCAATCTCAATATATGCTGGAGGTTAGATGTTGTCCAATAAGTGTTCCGAAAAATGTAAACTCGCAAGTGATTTTGCCTGGATCGATAGTCACCTGTCGATGTAGAATTCAAACTACTAAACCATTCTCTAGTTCATATGTACATGGTAGATGCATCCTTTAAATCTCTACCAGACATCAGGTCAAGGCTTTAAATTTTCATGTTTTAGAATTCAAAACTGTTATATACTTGGATAGATTTAGGATGGGCGGCTTAGCTGTTACATGAAGAATGTCAGTCCCGGGAGCAGGCTGCCTGGTTAATGTCATGGAAGATGAAATCTTGTGTCATAGTCATATGCATTGAAAATGCTGTTAAGAAACAATTCAACTTTTTACATGAGTATCACTCTTTCTGTTCTTATATGCTGAAATTTCTGTGTATGCTCATACACCATACTTTATCCTACTGCAGTTCGAGGTTCGGCTGAGCGACACAAAAGACATGTCGCAGCAGAATAAGCAACGGATCAGCAAAGACTTTAAGTCATTTTTGGAGCCTGTGCGGGAGAAACTGCTCCAATTCGAGCAGGAGCTGAAGGATAGGTAGTGGGAGCAAAGCACCCCCAAGGAGTCACATTTGTGACTGAAGTGTATGATTGTATGCTGAGACCATCCTTCATTTCCCCTCCTGTTTCAACGGTGATCAAAATAGACTTATTTATAGCAGTAGTCGTGTTAAGGATAAACTGTTTGGACACCACCTTGGCCCCGAGACTCCGAAAGAGCTTGATGAACTTCGATCGTGTGTGTGTTCTCTTTGTTTCAGTTAATGGACAATAGAGTATTATCATGTGTTGTTTTTGTTATATGCTCTCTGGAATTGCCTCTACTTCTTTCTTTTACCACGGTAGTCCGAGGGGTCAGAACTGACAAACTAGAGTCGCTTCTCAGGATTGAACTTTCATTTGAGAACGGGGTGCTACTGCCTACTAGGCCACTATCTTGCAATGTTTGCACTTTGCACATCATCTGTGTGAATGTGTTGTAACATTATGCCGAGTATCGATGGTGGCAACTATAGCCTTCTCCATACTATACCCAGCTTCGACTTTCTGCAGACGGTTGCAGCTGGTCGTCGGAATGGCAGTCAAAGGCCATCCTTTCTGAGTTCTGATTGAAGTTCATTTCTAACTACTCCGATCCAGGACTCTTGAGCTTTTCAAAAGATAAGGTAAGTAGACTGAGAGTGCACAAATGGATTCTTTCTTGTTCTCATCAAACACCTTCGGAATTGACATTTGACAGCAGCGTTCTTTGAGCTTTGCTGTGATACCCTCTGGCCTCTAGTCAACCTCTTTTTTCCCCCTCCAACTTCACAAAGATGTCTAAACTAAACGACATTTTTAGTTGCCCTTTTTTCTTTATGGCCTCGACGATGGATTCCAAGAGGCAGCTTCTTTTTTCCACTTAATATAAAGAGAATCCTGCCGCCCTCCAATGAACCGAAAGGTACCGACCTGATCCTTCACAGCTTGGCTTCGAGACAAATCATTGAAGCAGGCGTCTTGTTCGCCAAGCGTTAAACAATTTGTGTCCGTGCTGGGGTTAAAAAAAAAACAGAGTTCTCATTGTAAATTACTGGCATTTAGCGGGGAATAACAACAGCTCGACAACAAATTCACGAAATGGTAAAATTGGCCTTATATTAGAATACCACCTGGATGTGCCCTGATCCACCTCGTCTCTGCGCGAGTATTACTGCATTGCGAGCAGTGTAATACAAGGATGTGGGTCTTACTTGTATTTCGTCATAATTCGCTCTGCTTTCTTGTTTTCGACTCGTTCTATCTCAATTCTCAGTCGGGCTTTTCACTGAAATGATATCGTTACGACCTGATCTGAGCTGTGAACCTGAACAATACTCTGCGAGACATATGTGGATATTGATGTAGGCGTATCCGCCCTGTATCTGTATGTATCTTTCCTGAAATGTATTTTTTTAAACTTCATGAGAAGGGGACGAAAAAAAAAATACTGCATTGGAAACAACAGTGTCAGGGGACAAAAGCATGGTGACAAGAGAGAAAACGAAATGCAAGGAAGAAACAATGGAGTAAGCCCTCGCTCCCCTGTTTCAGGCCAATCCATATAACTTGAGGTGTTGATGGCGACAAATCGCGTGAACAAGGCTTTCTACCCTTCGTTATCATACAGAAAATAGACTACCCTTCCTCCCTCCATTGCCAAGCTACCTCAAAGGTAACATCTTTGGTTCTGCTACAACTTGGTAAGCTTTTAAAGTACAAACTCTGATAAGAGTTCTTCTTCCCCTTGTTCCTCATATTACTGACAGTAGTTTGTGTTCCAGAAAAGCTGCTTTCGCCGAGGAAGGTTGTTGGAGAATTCAACGACGACTGATGCCGAGTTGCTGCACCAATGACCCTGCTCGTCATGCCTTCCAGCCGAATTCGCAGAAGGAACCGCCGGGTTTCCCCTTCCAGGTATCGCCACCAGTTATGGAACCACAGAGACAGAATTTGAACCATCTGTCACATGGAACAGCACCAAACAGCACTATGTTCTGCACAAACTTGCACTCGAATTCTTCAACTGACCCGGGAATGGATCCACGACTTGGAATCGTTCCACCTCCTCCTCCTCACCATCATTATCATCCTCTAGCTGATCATCATCATCATCATCAAGTGAACTCTAGGAAATGTCCATTCATTCTTGATGATCAAGGCATGAGCAGCTTGGAAGACTTGACAGACTTTCTTGACATAGCAGAGGAAAACCCTAGCCAAAACAGCAGCTTTCATCGATCACATAGGGGTAAAGATGTTATAATGACATTGAAGGAGACGATGGGATATTTGTCCAAAGAGCTTGATATCCCTCTCGATGACGACGATGATGATGGAAGTGCAGCTTTTGAGGTTAGTCTGGCAAGTTTTAGACAAAAAAATGATGATATTGATCACAAAAATGACGGCTTATCGTGCTTTCTACTCTACTAGTCTGCTTTGATCATTCGAAACTTAAAATTTATCAATTTAACCTAATAAAAAAAACAAAGAAGTCTAATTGATTCGTGAATTTCTACTTATTAATTTGTCCATGGCAATTGAATAAAATTTTGGAAGTGTATCTAAATTTTATATGAAAAACGTAAGATACGGGTAAAATGCAAATGATTTCACACATATTCATGCATTTTGTAGTGAAGTGTACTATAATTGTAGAGTTATCAAAATAAGGTAACATCCTGATCAATTATGAACTTCTCCTTTGCAAGAGCAGGGTATTTATGAACCACTGCCTCGCAATCCAAGGGTACCTGTCGTTGAATTGTACAGTAAAAAGTACAGGACTACAGATGCTTACTTGCCTGGATCTAGCCATCATCATTCAGAGGCTGCAGGTTATCATAAGCAGAGAATCAGGTGGACGACGGAGCTCCATGACCTTTTCCTTGGAGCAGTTAGAACCCTCGGAGGCCCTGAAAGTGAGCACCAACATATATGATATTAGATTTATGTAATAACTAATAACCAACAAGGCAAAAGAATTTCACTGAACTTCTGCAGTAACAATTTCAACCCACTATCGATGTAGTTGCGACTCCAAAGCGCATAATGTCGATTATGAATGTCAAGGGCTTAAACATCTACCACGTCAAGAGTCATTTACAGGTAACTAAACAAACAAGCTACAGCTCGACTTCAGTTTTCTGGTCATGTTTTCCTGAGTTCTAACTAGTTCCTTGGAAATACAATTTGCAGAAGTACCGGCTCCAGACACAAGGTAAATTATCTTTCATATAAAACAGTATAGCGCAGCCAGAGATGGCCTTTTAAATGGGTATTCAATCCATCTAATTCAGACTGAATAGGTAGTGGCAGCATAGTAATCTCGACTAAGCTTCTGACCACTGGAAGAATGTTCAGTATAGTAACAGTGAATTTTACATTTGTCTTCTGGTGTAGAAGCTTCATCAGCTTAACAGATATTCCATTAGGAAGGCTGATCAACAGTAAATGAATAATAGAGCCTTCCATATCAGCTGCCGTAAGACCAGCAACCTACTATACCCAGTCCCCCTTCCCCACACCCAAATGAATAAATATACATCCAGCTCCAACATTAATTAAAAGACTGAATCTTTGAAGGGCAAACAATGGTTTAATCACTGTTTCAAGTTCTCTTATTTAAGTTAAATCCTTCTAAAATAACAACTTTTGATACATAGTTTAATACTCTTGCTTCAAAACTCAAGTCTTCGAAAGAAGCTTCTGTGAAATCAAATCGTAGGACTGCCAAAATTTTCAAGTGGCATATCTTTGTGATATCTAGCAATAATTAACCAACTTACTTTCAAGTACCAATGTGCTTCGACTTGTTACTGTCCAGAGAAAAAGCTGCCTAGCCCTGTGGAAAAGAAAACAGCTTCGTCCAACAGTGATTCTGATGGAAATGTGAATAGGTGATGTAGCAGAACAATCTTCTTTTCTTTCTCGCTGACTAGTGAGAAGATCGCTGATGAAATGTTCCACTTGCAGAGACATGGTTGTCACAACAGCTCTACAAATGCAGATCGATGTCCAGAAACTGCTGTACGACCAACTTAAGGTACACATTACACTTGCTTTCTGAGCAACTGGTTACTGGGATTTCTTTTATCTTTTAACACATGCGTTCTGTTGTCAATTTGTTTTGACAAGGCACAAAAGCTCCTTCAGTTGCGCATAGAGGAGAACGCAGAATTCCTGAAGAAGTTGCTGGAAAAACAACAGAAGTCGAATCCCAGCCTTGATTCTCCTTCCTCATCACAAGTAGAGCTGTCAGGATCTACCCCATTTGCTGATGACTCCTCTTCTGCAAAGGCAACAAATGTGAGAAGTCAGAGCTCATCTCAAATATCGAGTAATCAGGAAACTGATACTACCAGAACTGAAGATTCGAGGAGCCACAAGCGGGTTCGAGAAGAGAGAGAACAATCCTAGATGATATCCGGGGAGGGTAGAAGAGTGATTTTACTTACTGAAGTCGGATGTAAATTGTGTGCAGTATTGCAGCCTTTACTGTTCAATCTATCATATGAATTGATCGATCTTGAAATAACTGCTACATGTGAAAGATTGTTAGTGTCCTACAATTCAGATTCATTGCCGAGTGTACCTGTGCTTTATAATTGCTCAATTAAGACACTTATAAGTTGTCAGAACCCAGGGAACCGTCCAGCTTGAGTTACTCCTGATCTACTGCAACAAACACAAACTTTGATCAAAAGTACACAAGAAACTAGATCTGTCTCCCAGTACCAAAACAATGGAGGAGCCAAAGCAATCTTTAAAATTTGGTCATTCATGAATTGCCAAAGTTAAAGACCATATGGAGAGAGACCACTTCATCCAGAAATGAGGAATGTTGCTTAATTTGGTCATTACATTATGGTAGGGTGCGAACCATTCTCACATAGGAAGACAGAATGGAACAACAATATTACACCAAGCACACAGCAATACAGATTGCCAGTAGTAAAACAATTCCAAAAGTTGAAATATAACAACTGTTAGCTACCAAAATTAAGGGCAAAGACACATGCATTAGATCAGACTTTTTACTGCCTCTTTCTTTTGCCAGATCCCTTGAGAGCTGCTTTGGCCTTTTGCCACTCTTTTAAAGATGCAGCACTTCTCATAAATGAGCAAGTTTCCCCAATCACTAGCTTTGTTGCTGCTAAAGTCGGCTCCTTTTCAGCAGTTGAACTAGACCCTTCATTCTTGTTTGCAACATTCTGCTGACTAGCTTCATCGGACCCTTCTACATCTCTCTCTATACTGCCGACCAAATCCTTCACAGGTTCGCTGATTTCAACAAGGTCCAGTTTATCATCATGTTGATCACCTGTGGAGCTAGCAGGTTTCACAGCTTCGGCAACAGATGGTGTTTGTTTACCAGTAGACCCACCAGGCAAGATTTCAGAGATTCTAAATAAACTGCCATTACTCCCACTGACCAACTGTGTCCATGAGGACTTATGAAGCCATGCTGAACCCCTGCCTGACTTATCTGAAGTGGAGGTTTGTTTGGTATCCTTAACATCTGCCGGACTTTTTACAATTTCTTTCTCATTCAATTGGCTCTTTTCATTGCTTGTCAGTTCTTTATTACTTTCAGGACTGTTTTCAGTCATATCATCAGATTTTCCTTCGTCATTGAACTCAGTACTTGTCTGTACTTCCGATACATTGAATGAACCAGAGCCATCATTGTCCGTAAGTTCTGTTTCACTTAATTTCCCTTCACTCTGTTCATCTCTCAACAACATCTCCTTATTGCTGGAATCTGCACCTGCCAAAACTTCAGAGATACTAAATTGTTTACTGCTTCCATTACCTGCATGTTCTGCTTCATCCGATTCTTCGCTCTTTTCGTGGCCCAAAGGGTTCTTCTCAACTGCACTAAACTTGGACAAATTGTCTGATTTTCTGGCCTTCTTCTTGCTGGAACCTACAGTTGTCAATACTTCAGAAATACTAAATGTGCTACTGCTCCCCTGGCCTACAAGTTCTTTCCATGATGACTTCCTCTTTCCTGAAACACTTGGAGTTGAGTGTTTGACACCTTTTCCTTTTTCAGTACTTGGAGCTCCTAAGGAGATGTCCAACTCTTTCAAGCGACTCCTAGACAAGGATTCACTCAAATGGCCATCTCCATTAAGGAATGATGATTTCGTCTCCTTTTTAGGATATGCGGAATCGCTTCTATGCTGTTTGAGCTCATTGCCAGAGTGAGAAACATTTGAATCCTGTCTCCAGTCAAGTTTTGCTTCCTAAGAATTGAAGCAAAAAAAACACAAGTGAATTTTAATCATCAGCTCCATAGCTTCCAAAAAAAGACAACAGGAAGTACAATATCCAAGCATCACCTACCTGACTACCCAATAGAGGTTTCCCTTTTTTGCCCACAATGTTGATTATGATGTTATCCTCATCTTCTGCACTGTCGTCATCAACTTGCTGGTCCTCAAATTCACCAGCAGAACCATCTGCCTCCGCGGCTGCTTCCTTCTGGTCGTTCTCCTTATCTATTTCGATATCCAGGCTGCCACTACCCGCAGGCTTTGGGACAGCCTCTCTCTGAAGCAGCTTATTCATGACCGAGTTCATCAAGTTAATTTCTTGCTCATTCAACCCATCATCTCGCTCACTCAGACCAAGATTCTGTTTCCTCTTGACAGGCTCAGCATTACCACCATGCTCTTCGCAGTCACAGAAATATGTAGGAAGTGGAGGAACTTCCACACGCCGGAAACTGTACTTGTGCTTCCCACTTCCAGTGAGTGGGATTGCTTTCACCTGCCAGAATAGACCCACAACAGAAAACAGCTGAGGAAACTAAGCATCACTCAAAAAGCAGAAAGTCGAAATCCTTACGAGCCGAGAAACTCAGTACCTTTCCTAATCTGGGAAAGAAAAAGCTCATCTTCTCATCATGTAAGTCCTCCTTAGTCGGCAGTGGAGGAGGCTCCACTTTCTTGTCATCGTTAGAAGATAGAGCCTCAAGCTTAGCAGCATCTTCAGCCCATTCCTTCTTCAGGCGAGCAAGGTAATCCTCTTTGGCCTTCTCCAGCCGCAGCTTGCCACCCTTCCACGCACAACCATTGTACTGCAAACCAAACCGAATCAAATGCAATTGGAAGTTAAATTAACTATTCATAACAAAAGTGGAATGAGAAACGGGGGAGTTGAAGACAAAAATGGGAGAAGATTACAGTAGAGAAGAGCTTGGAGATGGAGTTATCGGCCGAGGGGAAGAAGTCGATATAGGCAAAGCTCCGGCCTTTGGTTCGGATGATTTCAACCGTTTCAACCTTCCCTAATCCCCTTGACGAGAAAATCTTCTGCAAGTCATCGTCGGAGACCCGCTCCCCTAGCCCACCGACGAAGATCCTCACGACTACCGGCGCCGCTTCTGCTGCTTGTTGTGCTTCCGTTCCAATCTCCGCCATTCTCCCTTCCCGCTGTCTTTGGTCGTTCGGCTGCTCTGTTTCTCCTTCCGGGGAGCGGCGCCTACTGGCTACTGGGGGGAAGAACCAACGAATACCTAATTGGGCTGGTCCTTATTTTCTACGCTAGACCCCTTTTGGGCCTAAAAGAAACAGAGCAGCCCATTCACTCTCTCCCTAACGCTCCAATTCCAAATTTTCAATTTCTTTTTATTTTTTTATTATGGGCAAATTTTCAATTTCTACGAATCCTAAAATAGCATCGCAAACTTACGGGGAAAGTAAGTGGTAGCTTGTTAGGATACTTTCTAATTTTTTAAAATTATATTGAATCGGTTGAACCAAAAATATTTGTATGAGATCTTAAATCGATATGTGACTTTAATAGTATGAAATGGTTAAATTTCGATTTTAGTATAATTTATCTATCAATAACTTTTTTTATATAATTTCCAGTACGATTTCGAAATTCTTGATATTTTGTGTTGAAAATGTACTTTAACTGTAATTCAACCAATTCATACTTTGAAATTAGATACCGGCTTAATCCTCGATAAACAATTTGTTGGATCTAACCGCCAATATCGTACAATTTTGAAAACACTATCAATGTTCGTCGTATTCCTAATTACTTGTCGAGTTAGAACCTATTAACGACTAATACGTCTTTCTTTTATCAAGGAGATTGTTTGCTTGATGGATTTGGATTCATTATGGACTTTTGTCCAAATCCTATGTTTACTTCATGTATTTAGGTAGCAACAAATTCGTGGACCCCCGTGGACTTTAAGACTACAAATCCGCGAACCTCACGGATTTGAAAGTTCCACCTCTTCAGATGGTAATTGATCATGAATTTTGAAGTACATCATTTATAACCAATCTACCCCTCCTTTTTATCTTTGTCTTCTCATATCAACGAGGCAAATATAAGTTAAGGAATAGTCAAACCTTATATGTTTGAACTTCTAGCTTTCAGGGATGTTATCTCCTCTGTAGCCTCAAGATCCTTGACCCACGTGATAGTCGAAGGCGACTCCGAAGTGGTCGTCAACCAAGTCCGTCAAGGCGTCTTAGAAGACTCGATTGGTGGTCCGGGTCCCATGTTACGAGAGTGTCTTCAGATCCTTAGCTCTTTGTTTGTTTGTATAGAGTTTAGGGCTGTACTTAGATCCGCCAACAGTGCTGCCCATAGAGTGGCGCGTAAAGCACTGCTTTTGTCTCTTGTAGAGCTAGAATCTTTTGATTTCATGGGGGTGTCTTCTCACTTCTGTAGAGTCTTTTAGGGGTCCTGGGTAGAATTGTAAGCTTAACTATTATTTCTCATTGATATCACTCAGAAAAAAAATATATATATAAGTCAATTTCACTTCATACATACAAATCTATCAAACAATTATATTTTTTTTAAATCAATAATGAACCCAAAACTCTCGTATACGCTCATAACTTTACAAGACCAAACTTTACCAAAACCTCCATTTTTTTCAAATCCACCGAACAATTTCAAGACACAAGAATCCATCGTAGATGCATCTTTTACTTGATGTCATTGTTGTTAGAAGAAACTGTCTTGGGGCAAGACACGAAAAAACAAAGAAAACGCCAATCTCTTTCGTGGAGTGACTGGATTCTGGAAGCCAACCAAACCAAACCAACCGGAGAAGAAGACAACCCGATTAGAAAAATCAAGGTCAACACACACAACGCCAGCGCGGGGGCTCCTGAACCGGTCAACAAACCCGAACACGGTTTACACCATTTCCCCAAATACGACCTTTCCTATGTGGCAGCTTCCACTAACCGCCAGGTCGGATCTATAAACCACCCCGCGCCAAACTACAAAAAAACCATCCCACTCGTCCCCCTGACCTTCACCACGTATCCCCTTTCCGCAAAATTCCATTTCAATTCCGCCTCTCTCTTCCGCCTCCTCCTTAACCGCCGTCGCCGGCCGAGAAACTGCTGCTACCACCGCTCTCGCCGTCGCAGGAAAACCCCAAAAGAGAGAAGAAATTTGGGGGAAAGAAAGAAAGAAAGGGCAGCGATAAATCGGAGTTAGTGGGTCCCGGCGTAATTTTGAAATTTCCAACCGCTGTAGTTCAGGACCAGTCGAAGGAAGCGGTTCCTCTTTAAAGGGGGGATTCTCTGCTCATCTCTTTTTTTCTCTCCGCCCATTTGTGCTTTCTCTCGCTCTGAAGGATTCCGATAATTCCCTGCCCTTCTGGGTGTACGGAAAAAAGGAGGAAACAAAGGAAAAAACCGACTTCAATTGTTCACAAGCCGGAGATGGGTTTAGGTTCCATCTTCTCGTTTCAGAGACTCCGTGGCATCTTTCAGGTCAGTTGACATCATTAGTGCTCTGGTACAGCGTATTCATGGATTTTATAGAACTGTCGGCTGAAAGCCTGAAACCCTTTTGGTAGTCAGGAATCTCGGTTTTTGGTGTTGCTTGGTGGTTGTGTGGGTGGAGGTTGAGTTTATTCAAAGATATGACATTACTTGGTAATTAGTGAAGTTAAATCAGTAGTGGCTGTTCCGTCGCTTTTGTTGGGCAAAGAAAGCTACTTACTAAGCCCTCCAGAGTCCCACCCACTTACTTCCCTGGTTTTATCTTAATCACGGCCACGTTGCTAATGCTGCATAGATAATTTAGTACACTTTTGAGTAGGAAAAGGGCAACATTCATATCCTGTTACTATTCACTGACGAAATTCACCAAAGCCTATTTTGTCAATGTTCCAATTTTGATTGCCTTTAGTGTTGGTAAAACCCCAGAATCAGGAGCAGGGAGAGCAGCAGCAGGGGAGAAGGATGAGGGAGGTTGATCTTGGAGCCCACACAATCAAGAGCCATGGAGGCAGAGTTGCTAAGAACCACAAATACGATTGGCTCATCTTGGTGGTGCTTGGTGTGATGGAAGTCATCTTGTTTATCATCCATCCCTTCTATCGCTTCGTCGGGAAGGACATGATGGAGGACCTCAGATACCCGTTTAAGGACAACACAGTCCCTACTTGGTCCGTCCCGGTAAGCTTCCTTCCCCTTTCACAACGAAGTCTCTATTTTAGCACCAAAATGTAATGTGTTGTGCTGGTTTATAGTAAAAGGGAGTAGGCGAATAGGTTCATGGCTACATGAATTGGTGATAACGATTGGGGACATCGCTCTTTTGCTTGCTTGCAGCTATATGCAGTGTTGCTGCCAATTGTGGTATTCATCTGCTTCTATTATCGGAGGAGATGCGTCTATGATCTTCACAATGCCATTTTAGGTACCACCGATACCCTACAGTTGAAAAATTGAACCAATTGGTAGCTAACAATGACAAGTGTATTTGCTTGGAATCTGAACTGGTTGCCTTTGTGTTTCTGTAGGCCTCTTGTTCTCCGTGTTGGTTACTGGTGTGCTAACTGATGCCATCAAAGCTGCAGTGGGGAGGCCGAGGCCCGACTTCTTTTGGCGCTGCTTCCCTGATGGCAAGGATGTATATATGCTTTCCCTCTTCTATATATACATTATTTCCTTTCTCTTCCAGTATTTACTAGTTAACCCTTCTCTTCTTTGTTCTTTTGCTGGTTCTAACTTGGTTCTTTGTCTCTTTTGGATATAGCTGTATGATCGATTAGGAGATGTGATATGCAATGGCAAAGCAAGTGACATAAAGGAAGGACATAAGAGCTTCCCCAGTGGCCACGCTTCCTGTAAGCCACCGGAATACATATGCTTTTGTTCCATCTTATTGATGCTTAATGATGCAGTTAGGACTAATTTTAACTATTCTGGCATTATTTTCAAATGCAGGGTCATTTGCTGGATTAGGCTTTCTGTCTCTGTATTTGAGTGGGAAGATCAGAGTGTTTGATAGGGAAGGTCATGTTGCGAAGCTGTGCATCGTGATCCTCCCTCTGCTTGCTGCATCTCTCGTGGCGATTTCTCGGGTTAACGATTACTGGCACCATTGGCAGGATGTGTTTGCTGGATCTCTCTTAGGTCAGTGTCTCTCTTGAACTATGGAACATGGGTTTTGGTCACTGCTGCTAGTTTTCCGAGAAGCTGAACCTTGTGTACAAAACTGGAACGATGCAGGGCTCGTGGTTGCAACCTTCTGCTACAGACAATTCTTCCCAGCCCCTTATCACGATGAAGGTAACCTATTAAACTCTATGATGCCTAGCCAACCTCATTCTAGTGTCATTTTATGTTTTACCATATTCTTTTGCCAAGTCTCTAATGTTTGGCTTTCTTTCTCGTTATCTTGTTCAGGATGGGGACCGTATGCATATTTTCGGGCGCTGGAGGAGCAGTCACGTTCTGGTGCTGATCCAAACGCAGTCCATGGGAGCAATGTTCAAGCTATGGAAGCTCAGCATCAACAAGTTGTTAGGCCAAATGGGGAGCTTCAGTTTACATCACTAGATCTTGAATCTGGACCAAGATAGAGAACCTTTTAATGGGTAGCTGTGAATTTACTTCGTTTATTTGATTTATTCGTGTAGATGGGTTAAAATGGTGGTAGTAGTAGCAGCAGCAGTAGTATTTCAGTGGTGGGAGTAAGCTTTTGGGGAATCATTTTGGGGGTGTTATGGAATTATAAGTCCACGTTTATATATGCAAGTCTTACTGTTTATATATTGATTTTCCAGAAACTTTTGAGGATTCCAGAATTCAACATGAGATTCAACAATCTCTACGTTATCATATTCTCTGGCGCGTGTTGGATCATTTGTCAAAAGATTAGTGCTTTCCCGGGAAGTTTCCCTCTGTCTCTGACGAGCAAAGAGAACGTTTTAATGAATGGGGTTGTCACGCCGGCGGCGTGCCATTGGTTGTACCTGGTTCAACCTGTATCGGTCATAAAACCGGCGTGACACCACCGGTATGACCGGCATGATCGATATACGAATCTCTAAGTAAAATAATCTTATTTTAGTGACTTTAATTGTTAAAAATTATTTTATTATTTATTTTATGAGTATAAATGTTAAATATTGATGTTATTTGTTGGATTCAAGTATAAATGTTTAGGTATAGACGTTAAATGTCATGTTTAAAATGAGTATTTATAATTTTATTTGTAATATTGACCGGCATGAACCGGCACAAACCGGTATGTACCACCGATCGAACCATTCCACTTGCTAAATCGGCACACTGGCATAAACCGGTTTGACAACCTTCGAGTCTCACTCCAATTTAACTAAAGCGACACCGTTTTGATTTTAAAAACAAAAAAAAAAACAAAAATGGAAGGGCCGTCTCCGATCGCCAAATCCAAGTCCAAATCCCTAATCACTCAAGGAGACAACTCCAAATCGCCGTCTCCCTCGCGCCTTCCAGCTCCTCCATCGCCATTGAGGCCAACGCGCCGCCTCCATTGCTCCACCGCTGCATCCTTCTAGCTCCGACCGACGTGCGCCGTTAGCTCGGCCGCTAACTCCATCGCTCCACCGCTGCATCCTTCCAGCTCCGACTTATGTTCGCCGTGCCTCCACTTCTGTTTCCTTTGCCATCTCAGAGCATTACATGAATTCCCACTTGAAAAGTCGTTTGTATATCAGTCCGGGCTCGCCGCCGTTCCACTTTCTTCGGGCCATTGTCCAGAGCTTTCATCTCTGCCACCGCTATTACGCTGCTAAACCTCACTATGACAATGACCGGAGATTTAGGAGAAAAGAGGCATCTGAAGGAGAATTACTACATCTACACAAGAGTAAAGGCCAACACTTGCTCACAAACCCACGAATTCTGGATACGATTGTTCGCAAATCTGCCATCAAACCGACGGACACCGTCTTAGAGATCGGACCGGGGACGGGAAATCTCACACTCAGGCTTCTTCCGGTTGCCAGAAAGGTTGTCGCGGTTGAGCTAGACAGAAGAATGGTGGAAGTTTTGCACAAACGCGTAGCCGAGAGCGGGTTCCAGGACAGTCTCTCTGTAAGTTTTTGGTCTCGCACTTAAAGTTACTGATAAAAGTCCCCAAAGAAGAATTTGAAGGAACTTATTTATATTTTTTCCCCCTCCGCAATGGTGGTCTTTTCAGGTTATTTGCCAGGACGCGTTGAAAGTAGACTTCCCGCCATTTGATCTCGTAGTGGCTAATATTCCCTATGGCATATCTTCACCTCTGATCATCAAGCTGGTTTATGGAGAGAACCCATTTCAGAGTGCCACACTTCTGCTTCAGAAAGAGTTCGCCAGGCGGCTGCTGGCAAACCCTGGTGATTCCGAGTTCAACAGGCTTGCTGTTAACGTGAAATTGGTGGCCGATGTCGAGTTCGTGATGGATGTAAGCAAGAGGGACTTTCACCCTTGCCCCAAAGTCGATTCCTCTGTGGTAATAATTCGTCCTAAACCCGAGGTCCCAGAAGTGAACCTTGCCGAGTGGTGTTCTTTCACAAAGACATGTTTTGGCAAGAAGAATAAGACTCTCGGGGCGACTTTTAAGCAGAAGAAGAAGGTACTGGAGCTGCTGGAGTTGTCTACTCGGACAGTTTCCGATTCGAGAAACGACGAGGGTTATGAAAACGACGATGAGGAGTCCGACTACGATGAAGAAGAGATGGAATCTCCCGGATGTGGTTCGGGAACGACATTGGGTCTGTTCAAGGAGAAGATTATCGGGGTGCTGAGAAGTGGTGGTTTTGAAGATAAGAGACCTGTAAAGATGAAGAATGAAGAGTTGCTGGAGTTACTTTCGTTGCTCAATCAATCTGGTGTTTTTTTCCATAACCAAGCAGATGATGTGAGTTCAAACAATGCAGCCCTGGCTGCCACTGCTTTCGATTGAGTTTTATTACCTAACGTATTAGATGATTTTCTTGCTGAGAATGAATACTTAAGAATGTTTAATGCAGAGGCAACTTCATTCATTTTGCTACTGAAACTGAGTTTTGTTCAAAGAGGAAGGTAGGGCGAAGAGGCACGGGGAGACCAGTGCTGCACTTTTGAGAGCGACATTGTAGATTGCCCTGTGAAATATTGTATTTAAGCCTAAAACATATTAGCACTGGGCTGTTAGCCGGGAGAGTTTAGACCGACCGTGTGGATTATAATAATGGATATGATAGATGTCCATAGCTACATGTGGCATGTGTTTTTCTTTTATGAATTGCTATTTGCCGCCCGTACTTTTACTATTTGCCGCCCGTAGTTACAAAAAATTGGACAATTTTGCCCCTTCTCCATTTCAAAAACCCTAAACCTATCAATTCCCTAACCCAACTCTCCCACCCTTCCGCCTCCACCCTCCAACCATTGTCGTCGGCCACTGCAACCTCCTTGCCGGATCAGAGATGGTGGTCGTCGCCGGGCACAGAGATGGATGGTCAGGCGCCTGCAATCGGACAAGGTCCGCCCACCGACGACGGACGGGGTCCGCCCACTCGCGACGGACGGGGTTCGCTCGCTCTCGTCGGACGGGGTCCGCCCTCCAACGTCGGACCGGTGCCTGGCGTACGTTTCCCGGCGGCGGACTTGTCGCCGGTGACTTTTTCTTTCCCAAAAATTGATTAATGATTATGGATTCATAATTAATATTTAGTTTTTAAATATTGTTTTAAATTATTACTAAATACCAAAATTCTTTAATTAACCCACTAATTCATCCGTTTCCGCAATTAACAACCATTTGTTATAAAACTAATGGAAATGTAAGCAACTACAAGAGAGGATTGGAGGAGGAAAGACACAAAAGAAGTGAGGGGAATAGTCCTTCTTATTCATGTATTCCTTAGTACAAGGAGATCATATATTTATAGGCATACATCACATAACCCCTACATTCTTACAATCAATATACATGAATGTGAGAATGAATGTGAAATATAAATGGGGTGGGGGGTTACATGTAACACCCAATTGTGCATCTAATGTGTCATATGAAGAAATAAATATAAGGAGATGAGTTACATAGAACTTGTAACATACCATGGAGCATCTAATGTTGGTCATCCATAATGATAATAATATTTTCATAACACTCCCCCTTGGATGACCATTAGACATGAATATGCCTCGTTAAAACCTTACTAGGAAAAACCCTGTGGGATAAAATCCTAGTGAAGGAAAAAGAGTACATAATCATCATAATACGCTATTTGAATCTGCCTCGTTAAAAACCTTACCAGGAAAACCCAGTGGGAAAAACCATGGTTAAGGAAAAAAGAGTGCAGTGCGTATATGCTCCCCCTCATGACAACATCAATAGTGTTGTGAACAAATCTTTCAAATATTGTCATGGTAAGCTTATTAGTGAACAAATCTTCTAGATTGTCACTTTATGCATGATCCATTAGAACCATTTTCTTCATACATGATCTTCAGGATCATTTGCTATGAATATAATCCACAACCATAAGTCATTTAGACATGTTGGATCACAAATTTTAACCAAACAATTCATAACAAGTCTCATGAATTGTTGACCATTGTGCATGATCAGATGATGTTGCTATTGTGATTTCTTTGGAATCTCCATGAGACACTTGAACGAGCATATGTAAACAAATTACTCATCTATGATCATCATCATACCTATAGTAACGAAGTATAACTCAATGAAGTATAGCGAGATACATTTTCTCTCTAACGACATTAACATACGATACTACAGGACCGAATAATTCACTTTTATCTCAATGCCTAAATTGATCTTTGTAGTTTGTTCACTTCTAGTGACCTTATGATCATTAGGCTGTTGAACATATGGAAATTTTTTCATACAAAATTGTTCTTTCACTTTTCCGACATTGTCTTCCTGATTCAAAAAGAATCTTCTTAAATCCTCCATGTTCAATTTTCTTTCTTTAAGCAAACCATGTTTTATGAAGCTCTTCTGGAGTTCATATCAACTAAAACATATGAGATCATTATAAAATAATGTCTCGATTCTTTTCTTCCAAATAACTATAAAACTTAGTTAACACAATTGTATGCAAACAATTACTTCATAACACAAGGTCACAAGCAAAAGGCACGTCATACACACAACATCACTTAACCAAACCACATTCATAAATCAAACTCATAACTAAAATCACAATATCACGCACATAAGCCTATATGTCATTACACAATCACACATGCCAAATGCAAATGCTCTAATGCACTTTATTCGAATTTAATCACGCAAGGCTTATTCGACCACTTCCTTTAGTAGATATTCACTTAGATGAATATACCATATTCATCCATTTTATCTCAATCCATAAAAAGGATTGTTTTATCGATCGATATTGTTCTCGAGAACTTCACATGTTTGCTTCCGGCAAACTAATCCTTCAAGGAGTTTCGTATAAATATCATTATCAAGGGATCCTTACAAATAGGCTATCACAATATCTACCAAAATGCAAATTTCATACTTTTTGAACTGCCAAACTATTTAAATTGCACAACATAGTTGCATCCACCACAAGAGAGTATTTCCTCTCATAATTAATGTTAGGTTTCTACGAGAAATCTCTTATGAGAAATTGTGTTATATCTCACAATTTTCACACGCGTTTGCACAAAATCCATTTGTATCCCTTTAGTTTTACATCTTCAGGTGTAAAGACTTCTGGTCCAAAACTTATACCAAATAGCCTAATGCTTTCTTTTATATTGGCCAATATATATTCCTTTGCATGCATCAATAGACTTTTACTTTTGATCATCTTTGTATCTATCACGTTTAGTGCTACAGCATAATCAAAACCCTTGTCGACAATAAATACACTTCGGTTCCAACTTTTTTCATACAAGCCAATTAATTGAGATCTCTTCATTTTAAAACGTTCAGGTACCTACTATTCTTCTGGAACTATGATCTCAATTTTATGACTTGACTCTTCTAGAGCTATTTTATCCTCGAGTTTACCATCTTAATTTATAGCTCCTTCCTTTCTCGAGGATTTTTATCCTTGGAACCGATTGGTCTACCATGCTTCATGCGCTCGTTTAGACTCGTTAGATTATCCAATATGGACATCAATTTGTATTGGAGCATTCACAACTGGGCATGTGACATAATCACTCCTTTTAGTGAGTAAAAAGGCGTTTGGCAATCAATACGTTTTTTTTTTCTCCATGAATCACCATATGAACTTCGGGTTCATGTTTCTTGGTTTGAGGATCAAAATGCGATAATGATGATTCCAACTCATATCTATGCCCAACTGTTTACTTTTCTCCCCCTTAACGTTCGAAAAGGAACTCATCAAAATGATGATGTTAGCAAAAAGAGTCATGAAAAAATCTCTCATTGCAATGGACACCATGTCCAATATAAGTTCTGATGGAACTCATAACGTGTTGTGGTGGAGCAATTGGGATGTATTCTGCACACCCAAATTTTCTAGCATTTTAAATGTTTGGTCCCTGACCAAAACCATTTATATGAAAGGGGGGAACTTATGATAACTTGTTGGCTTCATGAGAATTAATGATATCATATGCCTCGATAAGAGATCGATAGACTTAGTTTCTTCTCATAAGAGAAGTTCTGTTTGATTGGATAATCATCAAAATATATCCATCATTCGGCAACTAATCTAGCAAACATCAGGTTGCGTTTAGATAACAGACATATATGACGATATAGTTTATGAATCAATCAAAATCATAAAATTCATATATGATTTGCACGGTGAGTGTATTTTTCTGCATACACTTTTATAAAATCTCAACAGAATCAATTATTTTCACGATTATATTCTCCTCGAGACCATGTATCACATAATCAATCCTTTGATTGATGAATTCTATAAACTCTCACTTAATTTCGTACGATATCTCAATCATTTTCGCATATGTATCCGGGATGGTATGACCGGACATGCCAAAATAAAAAGTTAGCCGATCTTGCAAACTTCTGGTTTACACTTTCATATGTACTAATATACATGTAGTACAAATTTCTCTAGTTAAGTATATGTTCTCTTATAACACATTTCTGATGCAATATCAATTATGATATTCTTTTCTGCGAATATCTTCATAATTCGGTAATGCATCTTCAATTGACAGTTTAGTTCATTCATGTCTCAAAACATTAGCTCTTCTGGAGCCTTCACATACACGTGTACTACATTTTGGCCATGAGGCACCTTCTGATTCGGTGAACTATTGTAAGCGCATATACATAGTGATAATAATATTTTCATACTATAGATATCACCAATATATTGTTTAGTTACTTCAAGTAACAAAACACAATCTCTTCCGGAGATTTTGCTTACTTCATACTATATGATATAATACCAGTATTGACTTTTGCAAATATTCATTCTATACAAAAGCATACAAAATAACAACAACAACAACATATATGTGTTTCATAACACATTTCGGCATACGAAGGTTACAGTATATGATCATGACTTTTGCTACATGAATTGTCATCCTCATTTATAATTATGTTATCTTTCACTTCCGGTGAAAGATACATTTGCTGATTGTCATTATCCAAACACCAAATTATATTAATATAATGGTGTGTCTCGATCCATTCACTTTTAAGAATGGTTTGTTTTCATTCGCTTCCAGGAATGAAACAACAGCCTTTGGATCAAATTATATAATATTTCTCATCATCACAAGTCCAATACACTTTTCCATTATAATGGTAACATACAGAACCAATATTCTTATTACCATGTCCTTTTCTTTCTTTGCCCTTGAATTCTTCAATTTCCACTTCTGGGGAATATATGGGCTCTTGGAACTTGCATTTTCTACATATCAATGTATGATTGATAAGAATAGGATAACACAGAGAACGGAGAAATTAACTCATCACTTATATTACTTTTCTTGTTAATCCAAATAGATCGACGCGATAAAATATCAATGGATATGAGAAGTATCACCCATCTTGATATATTGGAATAAGATAATCTCAACATAAATAAGACAATAAGATAAGAAAGGATCCAAGATTTACATACCTTGATCATATTGTGATCTTACTCCAATATTTTACATTATGTCGAGAGTCTTTGAGGCTTGAGCAATGATAATTTTGGCAGAGCTTCGTGCTGATAACGTGTTATAAAACTAATGGAAATGTAAGCAACTACAAGAGAGGATTGGAGGAGGAAAGACACAAAAGAAGTGAGGGGAATAGTCCTTCTTATTCATGTATTCCTTAGTACAAGGAGATCATATATTTATAGGCATACATCACATAACCCCTACATTCTTACAATCAATATACATGAATGTGAGAATGAATGTGAAATATAAATGGGGTGGGGGGTTACATGTAACACCCAATTGTGCATCTAATGTGTCATATGAAGAAATAAATATAAGGAGATGAGTTACATAGAACTTGTAACATACCATGGAGCATCTAATGTTGGTCATCCATAATGATAATAATATTTTCATAACACCATTGATAATAAGGAAATAAGTAACACGTCTTTCCCTAATTGACAACCGTAAAAAAGATTCCTTGATTATTAACACGTATAATTCTATAACCCACATCTAATGTCATTTCCATTAATAAAAAAAATCTAATGTCATTTCCTTAATTGACATCGAAAAAAAAAAATCTTAACTTACATGTCCTACTCCATGACTCACGTCTAATTTCATCTCTCCAATTAACAATAGGAAAAAATTCTCTTAATTAACACTACTAAGGACGAAAAAAAGGAGATTTTGTATTATTAATGACAATCCAAACATTTTCCTTAATGAAACCATACGTGGGTAGTGGTTCAAATTTCACCACTAATTTTAACGAGATTAAGGTTTGATTAGAGTTGCACCAACCCGACCCAAGATGACAAATAACAAAATGAAAAATCAACTCGACTCAATCGGATCAACGATGAGAGTAAGAAAAAAGGAAAACATCTCTTCTCCCTCTTACACCTTCTACCATTCCCAAACCCTAGACCCTCATTTTCACCAAATAGTTACCTTCAATCTCAATCCATCCAATCATACTACAACATTGTTTTAGAGGCAAAATCTTCTCTACCTCCTCTAACAACAATCATTCGCGTCGTCGAAATACGTGTGATAGGCTCAAGAAACTGGTCATTACGATCCCTGAACTCCTAAAAAACCTCGATAAAAGTTTTGACACTATTCGTCATTTTTTGTCCGAGCGTCCAATTGAGAAACGGTTGATTCCATCATGTTCGTATCCATAAATTTATTTAGTACGAAATTTGATATTTACCACAACATAAATATATAATTATCAATCAAACTAATTTAATATTATGTTAATATTTATCACTATTTTGTACCATAATTTAAAATTAAATAACTACAATAAAAGAATAAGAGACATTTTGCAGTCCTTGTTCGTATCAATAAGAGAATTTTTTTTTATGTAGTTAGTTAATTAGGTAAATGTTCGTATCCACAATTCTATCATTGATTAGGATTTTGTTTGTAAAAAATTAAAATAGTTTATCGTGGGTTTTCCCCCGGTAATTTCGTGGGTTTATTTTAAATAATTATAACTAGAGATCCAATCGTCTAGCACTATTCATCATTTTTTTTACCAAATTCACCATTAATTAGCTGATTTCCCGTATCCACCATTAATTAGTTGATTTGTTTTATATTAAATAACAATAACTCTCACGTCATTCTCTCACCATATCGGAATCCGAATTCCGAAAATTACTCCTTAACCCACTCCAAGTTTATTTCCCACGTCCCTACCAATAAAAATGGCAGTTACCAATGTTTAACACTTATTACGTTAAACTAATTAATTGAATAGACAATAAGGGGCAAAAATTCTCTCGTTGAGCGAGAGTTGAGAGCGGCGGAAACCCTAGGATTTTCCGAGTTTTTTAGGTTTTTGTGAGACAGTATTGGAGTTGGATTCCTCGTGGATCAAGGAAGAACTAGGCCAAGGAGGACTAGTTCATCTCATAAGGGTGAACGAAACCTATTAATTGAGTGGAGAGTACGAAGAACCTCATACAATACTTTTGTTGGGTGGAACCTAGACTCCTAGCTAAATCCATCCATAGAAAGAAAGCGTTCAACTGGTGATATCACAATGGAGGGCAAGGAAAGGCGACTGAAGATACAGCGACAAGCAAGGACAGAACCCATGAGAAAAACACAACAATTGAACTGGAGAAGCAACTGGATCAGATTAATCTTGAAGACGATGATGAGGAACCACTGGAGGTCGAAGACGCCGACGTCGATGTTATAAGGATGGAAGCAGTCCGTCGTCTGGGACTGATTGGCCGTCTGGTATCTGAAAAGGAACCAAACATTAAGTCAATGAAAATCGCATTGACAAAAGCGTGGAAACTACGCAAGGGTTTCCAGATCACAGAATTGGGCGACATGCTTTTCGCCTTTCAATTCTTGGACATGGATGACAGGAACAAGGTGTGTTTTGGGGGCCCCTGGCACTATGAAAACAACCTTATTATTTTCAAGGTGAGCGGGCAAATACAAAAGCCTAACCCAGAGGATCTTCATATGGTTGACCTATGGGTCCGAATTGAAGGACTTCCTGCTGAGCTGAGAACTCAAAAGATGGCAGAGAAAATAGCTTCCAGGTTCGAGGGACTGGACTGGTTCGACAATGGGGCTGGAAACATGTGGGATGACTATATGCGTCTAAGAGTATATCTTTCAATAAACAAACCGCTGAAGAAGAAGATTAAACTAAGCATACAGGGAAAGCTGGTGGAATATCCAGTTAAATACGAGAAGCTCCCATTATTTTGTTACTCGTGTGGGAGGATT